TGTGTGTGTGTGTGTGTGTGTGTGTGTGTGTGTGTGTGTGTGTGTATTTCCTTTGTTAATCAATAACAATACATTATATGGATGAACCAGTTTATCCATTTATGTATTGAAGGATGTCTGGGTTGCACTGGTTTTGGCCAGTTAGGAATAAATGTATAAACATCTTGTGAGGTTATTGTCTTTAGGTAAGTTTTCAAACCAAATGGATAAGTACAGAGTGTGATTGCTGCTTTTTTATGCTCAGAGTATGTTTAGTGTTGTAAGAAGTCCCTGAAGTGCCTATAACTGTTTTGCCTTCCCAACATCAGAGAATGACTTCCTCTTGCCCTGTATCTCTCCTGATGTTTGATGTCCAGCCAGTGTGGTATGGTATTCTGATATGTAGGACTGCTTCATGTTCCTTGTGTATATCTGTGGTGATTGTGAGCATTGTCCCTTGTGATTAGATGCTGTCTTTCCGGTAAAGCATGTGTTCAGATCTTTTGTCCATTTTTAATTTGGTTGTTTAGTTTCTTATGGTTGAATCTTAAGGCTTTGCACATTTTATTAAGTATGTCCTGTAATATATGTCCTGTGGTGTGACTTTGTTTTCTTAACAACATTTCTTACAGAGCAGAAGTTTTAAATGAATTTAATAAAGTGCATACAATTTTTTTTCCACATATTTTGTTTTTGATGCTATATCTGAAACCTCATTAACAAAGCCATTATCACCCAGATTTTCTCTCCCAAATGCCTTTGTCTAGAAGTTTTCTAGTACTGAATTTTGACATTTGGGTCTGTGATCCACTTTAAGCTCACTATAATGAAAGGTGTAAGGTTTGTCTTGGTGCTTGGTTTACATGTGGATGTCCAACTGTTGAGCACTGTTGTTTGTGGAGACTTACCTTTCTCTATTGAATTGCCTTTACTCTTTGTTCAAGGTTACTGTGTTTGTTGGATTTGTTTAGTCTGGTTTGTCTATTTTTGTTCTGTGAAGACAATCACAGTGTCTTCATTCCTCAGTAGAGTTGGGTGTCCTGAGCCTTTGCCTCTCATGTCCAACTTCGGAATGAATTTATCGATGCTCATAAAACAGCTTGTTGCAGTTTTGATTGGGATTGTACTGTCTGGGCATCAACTTGAAAATAACAGGCATTATAACAGTTTTGATCGAGAAAATGTGTTGTTTCATTTATTTGGGTCATCTATGATTCCCTTTATAGATGTTTTGTACTTTTTTGTATATAGATTCTGTGCATATAAGCTTTAAACTTAGCTTTTTTTTTGCATTGTGTTTAAAGTTTTATATTCTAGTCATCATTATAAAGAAAAAGAATTTCACATCTTAACTTCATTCTAGGCTTTGCTATAATTACTTATTAGTTACAGTTTTTTTTTTTGTTCTTTGGGATTTTTTACGGTCATGTCATCTATAAAGAAAGACAGTTGATTTTTCTGTTCTTGTTCACTCTGAATTAATCCCCCCATCTCTTTTCTCCTCCTCGTCTTCCCTCCCCCGTCTTCCTCCTCTCCTTCCTTTCTTTCTTCCCTTCCTACCCCGTCTCCCTCAGGACTTGCACATGGGGCAAGCACCCTACCACTGGTCTACTTCCACAGCTCCCTTCAGTCCCTTCCTCTGCCTTACTATATTAGCTGGGATTTCAAATCTGATACTGAATAGAGTCAGCTGAGTTCACAATTGTAAGTGGGGAAGGACAGGAAACCACCTGGTTTCTTGATGTTAACTGTGCTGTTAGCAGTGGTTTCTGTGTGTTATTAAAGAGCTCAAGAAATCTCTTCCCTGTCACTTGTTAGCAGATTTGGTCAGCTGTTGAAATGTGTCATGTATTTCCTGCACTGATTAATGTATCACATTATTTTCTTTTTGTAGTCCTGTGGAGGAGGTGGATCACATTAATTGCCTTCCTGTCTTTCTTTTCCCTCCTTCTTTCATTCTTTTCCTCTCCTTCCTGTTCTCTTCATTCCTTCTTCTTCCCTCATTCTTGTTTATCCTTCCCTTTAAAAAAAAAATGATTTTTTTCATGCCAAAGCACTCTTGATCGGAAGGTGGTCACAACAAAGCCAACATTAAAATTTATTAACCTGAACAAGATTACTAAGATTAAGAGGTCTTTTTAATGTAAAGAATATGCTCCCTGTTGATGTTTCTGTGCTTGCTTTTCCATAGGCAGAGCACCCTGCTAATGGACCGGAGTGCGGTTATGGCTCCTTTCACCAGCAGTACTGGCTCGATGGGAAGATCATTGCTGTGGGTGTGATAGACATCCTCCCATACTGTGTGTCTTCAGTGTATCTGTACTATGATCCTGATTATTCATTTCTGTCTTTGGGTGTCTATTCAGCATTAAGGTAAGACGGCTTTGTACAGTTGTAATTAGTTTCATGGAGGTTCAGTTAATTACTCAATTTGTTTATATTTCATTATGTAATAGGAATCTATTTTTGATAGTATGTTATAATAATCTGCTGCTACAGTAGTCCTGAAAAACAAAAGCAAACCAGTTTCCAAACCTCCTTCTTTTAGTTGTACTGCACACATATATAGGGAAGCAGGGATAAGAACAGAAACAAATATTGGAGAGAAGAGACTCCCACCGAAACCTTCTCACCATTAAAGACATTTGTGCTGTGTGATGCGTATCTGCAGCTATGGCCACAAATGGGAAATCATTTTCTAACAAGGGTCACAGATACCAGCAGACAGTCAGGAACTTCCCACTGTGGACAGCCACATGCTTCATGACACTGTTGCCGTCAGTAGCAGAGCAAATATGTAAGTGGTCTCCTAAGACTGCCTGATGACACCATACCTTCTTAGTCTGTAGATACATACACACCTATATTTTCATAAAACCATGTGAGTGTCTGATGATATGACTGTCAGAATGGGGCCCTTTCCTTAAACAACTAGTTTCTTCAGCGCATGCACATTCCTTCCTTCCTTCACATCACATTAGCTGTATCTTTAACTAACACTCAGAGAATATATATGCTAGGATAACAATATAGATAATGTTACATTTATGGAGCATAAAGAATTCTGACAGGGGAGCTTAGAAAATATATATATGAAACAATAATCATCTCCAGACATGTGCTTTCTTTTTGAAAAATATATTTATTATTATTTTGTGTGTATGATGGGGGTGGAAGGAATGGACATATCATGGCCTTTTTAGAGTCATTTCTATCCTAGCACCTTTATATGAGTCCTGGAGATGAAGATCTGGACATCAGGCTTACCCAGAAAGCATTTTACTTGCTAAGCCATCTCACAGGAGTCCACAATGATTTCTTATACTCTAGAATGTATAGAAACATTAACAGCTAGAAAGTTAACATCAAGCATTGGCATCATTTCTAAAGCTGTTGCTTTTTTGAGAAAGGTTTCTGTTATTCTCCCCCGCAACCATCTCCCCCACCACCATGTGTGTGTGTATGTTTGTGTGTGTGTGTGTGTGTACGCACACATGTTATATGCAAATTCCTGTAGAGGCCAGAAGAGGGCCAGCAGGATTCCCTGGAGCTGGAGTTACAGGTGGCTGTTAACAGCTAGATGTGGGTGCTGGCAACTGAATTCCTGTCCTCTGAAAGAGCAAGAAGTGCTTTTAAGTGCTGAGCTACATCTCTAACCTCCTAAAACTGTTACTTTTAAATATTAATATAAATTTCCCATTTGTGGCCATAGCTGCAGATACGCATCACACAGCACAAATGTCTTTAATGGTGAGAAGGTTTCGGTGGGAGTCTCTTCTCTCCAATATTTGTTTCTGTTCTTATCCCTGCTTCCCTATATATGTGTGCAGTACAACTAAAAGGAGGAGGTTTGGAAACTGGTTTGCGTAGCTTGAGTCTCTTTTTTTCCCTCTGTGTTTTTCTCACTGTGTTCCCTAGTATTTGTGTCTTATAGTCACATTCTTACACCATTATGAAGTGTACTGCCAGATTATCTTAGTTTTTGTATATGTATTATTTTCCTGAATTATCAAAGTAGACACCTTGATGTTTTTTTAAAATTATCTATTTGAATTTTACAAATTGGGCTGATAATCATTTTTTGCCTATGTCTCAGTGCCCATCTTGACATTTTCTGCCTGACTTTTCTCTTAATGCATCAATAACAAACTTACAATTATGCAGTGTTTGTAACTGATGTCTGACAATCCTTTTTCCTATGTGTTTAATTGTGCTTTATATAAAATAATTTAAAGGCTAGAATATCTTAGATAGAGGTTTTAAGAGGTGGTCAGATTCAGGCTGCATTTTGGAGATAGATCCCATTAATTTGTTGGAGCATCAGACATGGGTGTGAAGAAATGGTTGAGGATGGCTCATGGATTTGAGTCAGTAGTGGTGCAGTAATCCAAAACAGGCAGGTCCAATAAAACAAGTGCCACTGTGGCTAGCCAGGCTGTGGTCAAGAGCTACTGAGTGTGGGTGGGTATGGGGGGTTCTTGGATTTGCTTGAATGTTTCCTCAGTTTGAATAGTAACATTTATTCTGTTATAGAAACATTTTATTTTTGGATATTCTTTGAAAGATTTAAATTTGTACTGGAAAAATGAACAGAGTAGTCCTTTAAACATGGACTTTCTCAACTGAATAAGGTGGCATATGCCTGCAATCTCAGCACTCAGGAAGCTGAGCTAGGAGGAAGAGAGTTTGAGGCCAGTCTGGGCTATGTAGCAAGTTCTGGGATAGGCTACACTACATAAAAAAGCCTTTCTAACAGAACAAAACAAAACCTCTTGAATTTTATGTATCTACTATTGCTGCTATTAAAAAGAAGAGAAAAAAAAAACAGGGAAGAAAACTCTCAAGACAAAACCAACATTCTTCTTCCTTTAGAAATGTAAATTTATTAAAACTCATATGCAGCTTGCCTATTCAGCTGGACAAGCAGGGGAAATTTTGTGTCAAGATTTATCTTAATATGAATTAGAACCACTTCACACACAAGCATTTCAGTGAAGATTCAGCTTCTGTGTTTCAGCAGCCCTCGTCCCTGCTAGTCAATAGAAAAGCATGGAGGGAGAATGTGATATTGTCCCTCTCATTTTAGGGAAACTGTATATAAACGGTGTTCCTAGCTACACAGTAAGTTGTGAATCAGATATAGTCTAAAGGGTTGTGTGAAAATGCATATATAATTTTTCCTGATGTGTATCGTATTGGCTATTAAGTTTTAAAAAATTAGTTGTGCTGTTAAAACAGCCCAGATTCCTTGAATATTCTAGAGCATATTGAGTATTATAGATAGCTCTGTTTTCATGTTATGTTGGCTATAGGTCAGCTCTTTTGCCCAATAAAGTATAAAATTTGAACTTAGATGTATTTCTTCAAAATAATTTAGAAATTTTGGGGGCCTCTCTTTAGAAATAATTATCCTGAATTTCAAAAATCATTTTTCTTGCCAGGCATGGTGGTGCATGCCTTTAATCCCAGCACTAGGGAAAGGGAGATGAATCTCTGAGTTTGAAGCCAGCCTGGACTTGTGAGTTCCAGGACAGTCAGGGCTACACAGAGAAACCCTGTCTTGAAAATAAACACACAAATCATTTTTCTTTTAAGAATTGGGTATTTTGATACTTTCCATTAGATTTTATTGAATTACATAGATTTTTGAAAATTGAAACCAGAATTAACTGTACTTTTTTTGTTGTTGTTTTTTGGCAGAGAAATTGCTTTTACTAGACAACTGCATGAGAAAACATCGCAGCTCAGCTATTACTATATGGGTTTCTACATTCATTCCTGTCCCAAGATGAGATACAAGGTAATGTCAGCTTCATGCCTGTGCCTGTTTTCACTACAGAACATAAATTTTCAGTGAAATGTGCATCTTGGGGCAGAGGATCTGGAGTGTGTAGAGGCAGGAACGGGTTATTATGGAGACTTTTTGCTTGTTTGTAAGTTCTTTCTGAAGTGAGAGTCACAGCCTTCTTGTGCTGACAGGGATCTCTTGCATTAGTGTGCAGTTTAAGTACATTTTGCAATTTCCTTTTAAAAAACAGTTGTCAGAGTCTCTACTGAAGGCTGTTGATATTTCCTAAGTGCTGGTACAGAACTGCAGAGGAGCAGACTTCTGCCACTGTGACTGGAACTTCTGTCTGCTTCACTGTGTGGTGTTTACCTCTGAGATGTGTGGAGATGGGGGTGTTCTCACTCTTAAAATATGTAATGCAGGTGATGCTGGGGGAGTTTTAGCATAAAACTGGGTCATAGAGTGGTTGAGAGATGGCCTACGAGAATGTGGGGTTTTCTTCCAGAGTGGAGGAGGAAGGAAGGAGGGGCTCAAATGAAGAGTAGGTGTGATAGAGATGCACAGAGTTCAGGGAGAGACCCTTGTAAGTAAGGGGTCAGAGTGCCAAACCCGTGAGGTCTTCATAGGACAAAGAACAGCTAGACACATAAAAGACCTGTCCTGGCTAAAAGTAGGATTTGTTTGTTTTTAACAAAGTGAAACAGCTTATAAACATGCAAAAATAAAAACTGTTCACTGGGATCCCTGTGTGCCCACTCCCCTGCTGTTATTCATCTATCTTCTCTTACCTGTTCTTTTACTCCACCCCCACCTTCCTCTCCTCTTGAATTATTTTGGAACATAATAAGGATATCCCTTTTTTGGAAGACAGGGTCTAATATAGCCATAGCTGGCCTGGAATTTGGTATATAAACCAGGCTGGCCTCAAACTCTGATCTGCCTGCCTCTGCCTCCCAAGTGCTGGGATTAAAGATGTGAGCTACCATATCAGCTGTATCTTTTTTTAAACTGAAGAGTCCAGGACTGCTTTTTCTCTGCCCCTTCTTGTATTTTGAGGTACTGGTAGTTCAAGACCTTGCACATGCTAAGTAAGTGTCCATTAGTTTTACCTGGGCCTTGTATATGTAAATGTTTTAGTGGGTATTTCTAAAGCATAAAAACACTTTGAAAATGATTACAATCTTATTATAACACCTGAAGAGTATTGACAGTGTTTTTTTTTTTATTTTACTTTATTTTAATTTTATTTTATGTGCATTAGTGTTTTGCCTACATGTAGGTCTGTGTCAGGGTGCCAGATCACCTGGAACTGGAGTTATAGACAGTTATGAACTGCCATGTGGGTGCTGGGAATTGAACCCTGTTGCTCGAAATCTAAATGGTCTTATAATAAAACCCCGAAGCCAGATATTGGGGTAAATGCAGAAAGATCAGAGAGACAAAGGAACAAGCCACTAGAGAAACTTCTCACCACTACTGAATCCTCAGGCTGAATGGAAGGTGAGATTCTATCTCCATGAATCCTCTGACTGAAAGTGTCTGAGTCCTCAGCCAAAAAAGCTCCTGCCAAAAAGGCTTTAGTTCCTGTCTCCTCACACCTTATATACCTTTCTCTGCCTAACCATATCACTTCCTTCCTAGTGTGGGAATTAATGGTGTGTGTGCTTCCCAAATACTGGTAGTAAAAGCATGAGATCTCAAGTGCTGGGATTAAAGGTGTGTGACTCCCAAGTACTGGGATTAAAGGTGTGTGCCACCGCTACCTGGCTCTCTTTTTCTCCTAGACTGAATCTCATGTAGTCCAGGTTGGCTTTGAACTTAGAGATCCAGATGGATCTCTGCCTCCCAAGTGCTAAGATTAAAGTCTGTGCCACCACTGCCTGGCCTCTATGTTTAATCTAGTGCTGGCTCTGTCCTCCGATCTTCAGGTAATTTTACTAGGGTACAACAAAAAGTTATCACAAACTCAGTCCTTTGGAAGAGCAGCCAGTGCTCTTAACCTCTGAACCAACTCTCCAGCCCTGACAGTGTTTCTAAATATCTTCTGATATCTGGTATAGTCGGTGGTCCTACTTTCTTGTTTTATAATCTGTTTCACCATCAATTTATTTGACTTAGGACCCAAACAAGGGTCATATATTCGTTTAATTTATATACCTTAAATCTCTTTAATCTATAAGTTTGTTCTTTCACCTTTTTTCCTTCCTGTCCTTTGTAAGAGTAATTCACTGGATTTAGTAATTGTGATTATGACTGCAAAGCTTTGAGGTTGAGTATTGAGGTAGCTTGGTTCCATTGTCAGCATTCATGGTCTCTAGAAGTGTGACTAGCTACATTCAGTTTTCTCAGCTGTCATTTCTCTGTTTAGGAATCACTTTCTCCTGCAGTCTGTACTGGATGCTAAAACTAGATTTGAAATAAAAGTAAAATATTAAAAGAAACCCCAAACCAAACTGTAGATGTAACCAACCGTCTTATTAAATAAGAAACACAGAAACAATGTAAAAGAGAGAGCCGAGAAGTCAGAGCTCAGAGCTAAAATCTCACCCTTCCTCCTGCTGTCCCAGCTTCTCGAAAAGAGACCTACTTCCTGTCGGTTCGTTTTTTTATAGTATGTTGTTCTGCCTTCTCATTGGTTGTAAACCCAAACACATGACTGCCTCGTCACTGTCTGAATGTACAGCCCCCTAGGTCTTAAAGGCATATGTCTCTAATGCTGACTGTATCCCTGAACACACAGAGATCTTATGGGATTAAAGGCGTGTGTCACCACCGCCACACTCTTGCTATGGCTCTAATAGCTCTGACCCTGAACACACAGATATCTATGGGATTAAAGGCGTGTGCCACCACCGCCACACTCTTGCTATGGCTCTAATAGCTCTGACCCCCAGACAACTTTATTTATTAACATACAATCAAAATAATAATTCAGTACAATTAGAATACCACCACACCAAACTCTAAATTATCATTTTTTTTAATTGAGCTAAGGTAACGTGAAGACTAGTTTTTACACATGGGAATTTCTTCCTGGCATTTTTGGTATGTTTTTGAAATCATAAATCCTGAGCGAAGTCTTTTGAAAAGTCAGGAAATTGGGGTAAGTATGTAATTCTTCCATAAAAGTTAAAGCTGAAAAACAACATTAAAATGTTACTGGTTTGAGAGCCAGGCATGGTGGTGTATGGCTTCAATCCCAGCACTTGGGATCTCTGTGAGTTCGAGGCCAGCCTGCTCTACAGAGCATGTACCAGCCAGGGCTACATAAAGAAACTATGTCTTGAAAAATCAAACAAACAAAACAAACAAAACAAAATGAACAATTGTTACATGTCTAGAGACATCTGAGGGAGCTGAGAGCTGATAGGACATTGAAGGAATTATGGTGGAGGAAGCTGTGGGGTCTGATCAGAGAGTCTTGCGTATGGTTGCTGTTTTTAAAGTAGGGCATGGAGCTGTTTGTTGTTAACAGTCTCAATTTAGTGGTATAACTATAATGAGAATTTTAAAATGTGTAGAGCTAGTTAGGTGTGATGATACACATCTGTAATCCCAGTACTTGGGAGCTCAAGGCAAGAAAAATACTATAAGTTTGAGGCCAGCCTGGGCTACACAGTGAATATGTTCCAGGCCATCTAGGGCTACATAGCAAGATAATGCCTCAAAAGACAAAATAAAGAAAAATGAGGACCGGGGAGAGAGTTCAGCAGATAAAGACACTTAACTCTCTCATGCTGTCTTAGAGTTCAGTCCTTAGTACCCACATAGTAGAAGGAAAGAACATGCTCCTGCAAGTTGTCCTCTGACCTCCACACGCACACCATGGCGAATGTGTGTGCGCGCGCACACACACACACATATACACACACACACATATACACACACACAAGTCCTCTGACCTCACACCATGGCAAATGTGTGCACATACATATATACACACAAGTTGTCCTCTGACCTCCACACTCACACGTGGCAAATGTGTGCATACATATATACACAAGTTGCCCTCTGACCTCCACATGCATACCACACGCATGCCATGGCAAATGTGTATACACACGCACACACATACACACAGTAGATAAAAAGTATTTTAAAAAAAAGAAAGAAAAGTGTATATACCAAGTCTCTGATTAATGTTCCAAGAAGTAATAAGTTTGAGAAGCAAATAACTTAATAAATTGGCAACTTGAGTTTGTGATTCTTTGTAGTACTGCTGATCTACTAATAGTTATCATAATTGTAGCTAGAGTTTTCCTGCCTGGCCCACAGTCAGGACAAATCTCTCTCACCCGCCAGTCCCACAGCCGCTCAGACCCAACCAAGTAAACACAGAGACTTATATTGCTTACAAACTGTATGGCCGTGGCAGGCTTCTTGCTAACTGTTCTTATAGCTTAAATTAATCCATTTCCATAAATCTATATCTTGCCATGTGGCTTATGGCTTACCAGTGTCTTCACATGCTGCTTGTTATGGCAGCGGCTGGCAGTGACTCCTTCCACCTTCCTGTTCTTTCTTTTCACCTCTCTGTTAGTCCTGCCTATACTTCCTGCCTGGCCACTGGCCAATCAGTGTTTTATTTATTGACCAATCAGAGTAATTTGGCATACAGACCATCCCACAGCACATAATAGTACCAAAGGAGGTTTGCTGGCAGTTTCCATTATTTCAATATTTGTAAATAGTATTAAACTAAGTATTTGTTACTTGTTAAATGCGTTTAAAGGTATCTGTAATGGTGAGTGAAAATGTAACTTGGAGTTCTAGGAATTTTCCATCTCCATAGCCTCCAAATCAGTATCTTTAGAATTTGGACACATCATCAAAACTGTAAAATACAACAGATGACGAGAGGATGACTTGGAAATCAAAAAACCTTTGACTTTTTGTCCAGTTAATATGTGTCCTCATTTTATCTTCTAGGGAGAGATGTTTTGCCATGAAATTATATCGTTAGTGACTTTGTAGATCTCCGTGAAATGATAGAATTTTTAATATTAATTTAT